TGCTCCTATTTCGTATAAGGATTCACTTGTCAAGGTAGGTTGCAATATACCGATCGCTGTTTCGATGTTTAGAAAGTAATGTATAATGTGTCGGAACTTCATCCCTGACTAGGTTGCACGTATCTCAGATGGAAGCCTGTTCCACAATATGGAGTATCGATTTAGGAAAAAGTTGTCAGACAGTTTCGTTCGTGATGTTTTCACTTTTACTTTATTGTGATTGTTATTTCGGGTGCGATAATTTGATAATTCTGCTCTCCTCTACTTCCATCCACACCCTCGGCGCGCAAAAAACGCACGTCGCGGGAGTCGGTAGGTTGGCATGCGTAACACGTGGCCGAGCCATCGGAGCCTGGAGCGTGAAATAACGGTGCTGAGCGGTTCATTTCCTTTTCCTGTGCCGTAAACAAGGCTCCGAACACGCTCGTTGCTCACGCGGTGTTCCAAGCAGATGTGAGCTAAATTGCGAAGGCACCGGTTGTCGAACGTAACTAGCCTCTTTATGTCGGCTGATCTAAGTGGCCAGGTTTCACAACCGTACAGTAGGGTCGAATGTAGCGCTGCATTGTACACTCTACCTTTTAGGGCAAGAGTGATGTCGTGCCGGCGCCACAAATAGCGAAGGTTAGCAAAAGCGCCTCGAGTTTTTGCTATACGGTTCGTGATCTCATCTTCAATCCAACGGGCGCTGATACAACTTCCCAGGTAGTTGCATTTTGAACGAATACTAGCTGATCCCCACCAAGGTCAACGAAGGAGGCGATCCAGGCCAGCCTTGGAGGGATGCTTTGCACTTCGATGGTGCAAAGCAAAGCCCGAAGTGACGGACAGCTAGTGCTAATCTGTCCAGTGCTGCTTGGCACATCTGGGAGCTGTCACAGATGAGGGCAATATCGTCAGCATACTCCAAGTCAAGAGTTCGTTCTCCTGGGAGTAGCTCCACACCTTCTAAGTCGTGTCCTATGAACGCGATTTCCATGACTTCGTCAACAGCGAAGTTGAAGAGGAAAGGTGACAGCGGGTATCCTTGTATCACACCGCTGGAGATATTAAAGGGCGACGACAGCTTGCCGTAAGCCCTCACTCTGCCTGAGCTACGCGCGTATGATGCTCGGATAACATTCATATATTCCTCAGGTACACCTTTCCTGAGTAGACAGTCCCAAAGTGCACGTCTATCGAACGAATCGAATGCACTTTTGATATCGAGGAACACGACAACGGTGGGCCGCCAATATATGTGACGTGCTCCAACAGCTGACGCAAAGTGAAGATGTGATCAATGCAGCCACGACCTCGAGGAAACCCGGCTTGATCCTCACGAAGCTGGCTTTCACAAGTGCCGGTCAGTCTGTGAATGATGATAGAGGCAAACAATTTGGAGGCAATAGAAGTCAGACTGATTCCTCTATGGTTGCCGCATTCCGATCGTGAGCCTACCTTGAAAATTGGGACTATGACGGAGCGGCTCCAGTCGGTTGGGACAGTTTCCTGCTCCCACAGTGTCACTAGTAACTCGTACAAATCATCCACCAGAGCAGGTCCCCCGAGTTTTAAAAGAGGGATGGAGGAAGATCATCTGGTCCCGCGGCTTTATTTAATTTCAACAGTGCGTTCTTACGTTCGACTTCTGAGCGAGAGGGTGGATCCAAAGGGACACTCCGGGGAGGAGGGCGACCACTGGCCGGTGAGAACTCTAACAATTCCGGCTGATTAAATTGCCTCTCAAAGTGCTCAGCCTAAGGCTGCAAGCGTTTTGACAAATTGTGGATAGGCTGTTCACTCTCGTCACGTATAGTTTCATTAACACCAGGTCTTCTGCTGCCCGTTTTCCGTATCAGACGGAATAACTTACGATGGTAACCAAGGTCAGCGGCCATTTCCATCTCTGATGCACGATGAGACCACCAGGATTCGCGGTCTCTCTTCAGGCTAGCACGGAGTTTTGCCCGGTCTCTTTGCGAGTTTCATTGTGTTCGCTTCCAGCCGGAATATGCCGACGAGCATCGATAAGTTCCAGAGACTGCGAAAAGACCCAATGTCCATGTTGGCTTTTAGACATACCACATGAGGATTTGCTTGCTGTCGGTATATCTCTACGACGATCAAACAATTCCAGTGAGTGTGCGAAAATGCAGCCCCTCAGTTCGTGCCATGTGATTCCGCAGATTGTATAACTTGAACTTAGCATCGCTTCACGCAGGAAACTCCAATGATTTGCGATGTCCCGAGGTGGAACACCAATGAAAGCATGTGATAAGGAAGCTTGATAAGTTGATCGAGTAGAGAGGTTAGCTAAGTCGTTGGTGTCGAGCGTATGGAGCTTTCATTTTGAAGAGCCGCCGAAGCGCATGCAGATGTCCGCGCAGATCAAAACATGATCTGAATAGAGGTACGTAGACCAAATCGATCTACAACCCGGACGCTGCTTCATTATTTTACTGTTTCCTCTTTCTTACCACATAACGGCTGCAGCATAGACTGCCAATGCAGAATACGTGGTTAGTACTTAGTTGATCAAGGTGTGATGCGATTTTGTTTCAAATTCCTTCATATTTCAAAACATTTTGTCAAATCCTGGTGCAACGTTCCGTTTGAGAAGGAGCACTTACGGGACAATTCCTATCCTTCCGGTCCCACTAGAAGTAGAACTTTCTGCTAGTGCGTTGGAAGCAGTAAATTAAAGCAAAGGCTGCTGAGTATACGCGAGAAACCAGTGCGCTAGGTGGGAGCGCAGATGCAGCGAGGGTAGCTTGTAGTGATCACAGTTAGCACAGGGGAATACTAGGAAACAATTCCCACTGCTTCAGTTGTCGCTACCCTATTTACGGTTGTTTTATTCCAGTAGTTCTAACACTATCACTCTCACCACGTTAATGGGATTACGAGAGGATGCGCTTACAATGATTGATGGACACAACAATAGTCAACGTTTCCCCTCGTAGGCACCACCACGTAACTGTCAGTTGAAGGGTCGTAGTGTCCTCGGTTTGCTTATACAGCCTTGAGTTACGGCAAAACTGGCTCTGCATTCTGTCAGTGTTGGTGTACGTGCAACACAACCACCTCTCATTGTCGGTGTTGGATTCTAATCAGGTGGTGAGTACCGGGAATGGGAGTTTATTGTGAAGCCTCGGAAGCTCATTTGGGACTTCCCAGGTTCAGCACTGCTTATATCGTCTAAAATGATCGTGACGATTTTATTTCAGAAGCGAAACAGTGCATGTGTGAGACAATATAACGAAGGAGGTGTCGGCGGCTGATTTTCAGTTGGATTTCGTTGGCATTGCCCTGGCACCAGACCAGGGCTCGCGATCGCCCCTTTTCTTATCTGCTCATTCATTAACATTCTGTTCTGAAAGCAATCAAATGTAAGGATACAGTTGCGCAGTGGTCACCTACCACCCAGAGAGTTCATCACTCCTTAAAGTGCATATGTATGGCGGCCGGCTTATTATTGTTTGTATCTCACAGTATTCCACATTGGAAGTAACCTCCAAGCATTTCCGTCTCCTCAATTCCAATGGGTCCCACTATGGCCTCTGGGCGTACAACGGGTCAGCATCAGTCGCATTCTTTTGTTTTGTCTCCATGTGTAACGATAGCGTTGCAGAGTAAAATCATTATAGTTGAATGCTTTTTGGAGACCGGAAGGCCGAGGCATAGTTATATGGCCACAATGAATTGCCCTAACTCTTTAAGGGGACCATATATCGTTTCTAAGACCTACGTGCACAGAACGCTAAGTTTCCTCTGTCGTATAGAATCACTGTTTCCTCAAGGCGTACCAACCCATCATAGACACAAAGTCGAAGCACGGTTTCAGTACACACATGCGTCTAGGTATGTCCGTACAAGACGTGGTAAACTAACCGTGCTATAAATGTGCCTGCGTACATCCCTGTCTTTGTTATTGGCCGAGTTGGTACAATTATTCTCTGTTAGAGAGAAATCGTTCCCACTGATTCGTGGCGCAGTTTTGATATCCTTTGATCTTATACGTGTTGTAAGACGCCGTTGGCCGGTGGTCGCTTACGTCGCTCATTCAGCCGGGTGGGATCGCGGGGTAATACTCGATCTGAATCTCACTCAACTGATCTATGCCTGGAGAAAGATATCTAAACGGCCGATCGTTCATTTCGAAATGTTGGCAGCATCCGGTTCAGGATTCGCCTGTCACTTTGGCCTCCATAGAACAGCCACAAGACGCCTGTGTCTACAGAGGGAACATGGGTGGCTTCCGCTGCACCACCCACAGTTCCATCCACGCACCCCATATCCAGTGCAAACCCGAAGGAATAAGACCGGGAGGCATGTGAATGGGAGCGACATTTCATAAACCGGGTCGGCCCACACTCCTTCAACATACAAAACAGTAACGTTTCTGGTTATCTATGCGGGGAACCATCCGTACCAGACATATAAAAGGCGATGACTGGGTCGTAGTCCGCTCCACACCGGATGGAACCATTTTTTGAGAAGAGAACGGCCACGGGGATAGTGCACCCAGTCTCCCCAACCAACGACTAACTGTCTCCTGGAACCAGTATAATTTAGGTGACCGTTTTTCGATAGGTAGGCACCCTGTCAACGTTCACATAAAGAGTAGCCACACCAGAAATATCAAAAATCAAGACCGAATTTGGAGGGAATTAAGCACGCAAAATTGACACGGAGTATGCAGCAGAATGACAGAATTGAAAAATCAAATAAAGTGGAATAGTTTTTTTTATCATCTAGGTTGAGAGAATCTAATTTAGGTGTAAGTCAGTGTAGCGTAGTTGCGGTGAAGACGCATGATATATGCAATATCAACCTCAGCGTGTGGCACCCGCTTCGAACAGAACCGATGTAACATGCTGGGTCCTTGTGTGAAATTTACTTGGAGCACAACACAACACGATGGATTAACCTCTCTTTGCGCATCCAAGTAACTTGTTCGTGGTGGCCTTCAACTTCTTCGTTTCAGTTTTTACGTACATTTTCATTGCTCGTTGCAGGACTCTAGTTTGAAACGCATCTATGGCAGCATGTTAACACAGAAGCTGGTCGATTTCGAGGAAGATGTCAAATCGATGGCGGACAACCTGCTCCAAGCCTCTATTGATTTGTACTTTGCTGTGGTGAATAAGTTCCTGCCGACACCTTCGCGGATTCATTACTTATTCAATTTGAGAGACATTTCAAAGGTAAGTCAACTTGATTTGTTAACAAACATCTCCAGTTATGGTTGATCGCTACTTCACTTCTCATAATGCTAAATTCATTTCTTTCGAAGGTGCACCCATGTCACAAACAATATGGTCGGGAAAAGACGTAGTTCTGTGACAGTTGGTAAATATCCATGGCGAAGCTGTGGCAAACGCGGCTGGTCTGACACCGCAACTGGGATGATAGCACGGCTAGTTTACCATGGCTGTCCATTGCAACGTTAACTTATAGTCCCGATCCACACGGCTAAGGGTTGCAATCACACCAGAACATACTCAGCACACACACACACACACACACACACACACACACACACACACCGAATATCAATAGTGGTTTAGTCTTTCAGTAGCTTTGAACAAAAGCTACAGATGTAAGTATCGTTAGCAAATGTAACAGTTGCCAGTTCCATGACCCAGAAAAGCTAAATCAGCTCGAATATGCTATTGGACTTTTTAAGGTACTGTTACTGTATATGCCCGTTTCGGGGTGTCTCCGCCCCCCTGCGTCACCAATGCGCTCGAACCTGAACCGTAAAAGAGGACGAGAGCCACAAGGTGCTACCACTTGGTACAAATTAACATCGTTTCTGTAACATGGGTATCTTACAGACTTTAATGCCAAGAGCCTGAGAGCAGGCCATATGGGTTTTTGTGCTCACTGAGTCGTTTCGTCATTTGAAGGTCTCGGAAGACTAAAGTAACAGAGACTTTTCGCTTTATACAACTGTACATGTCGAGTAGGTGGAAATCGGACGGCCACAAACCCGCTTGTACTGACAACTGCGCTAACCGGAACCCAAATGTTGGACACGACATCGTGGCAACCATCTTGACTTATACCACGTATTCCGAACTAGTTCAAACTGTCAGCACCTACCAGTTCTTTCTACTGGTCAAGTAGGTACTAGAAACTCCTCGTTTCACCTTTCAAGTAGCCACCCGGGCCAGTAGGGTTTGCGAACACATGCACAGCTGTAAGGCGGAAATGGTACTAGAAGCCGACAATTCGAAAGTGGACGAAGCCATCCACAGCAACCACCGAAGCACGCTACTTTACAAATAGGCAGCATTTTAATAACGTACGATCCTTATACCTGCATCTCTGGTTCTCTGGGGAAGATTCCAACCCGCTCCACTGAATCCACCGTCCTCTACAGTTCCGAGTTCAGGAAAATATTCAAGCCGTCTGCTGTTTGTTCGTATAGAAAGGTGTGGTACCTCCATGAACTTCATCTCTTTACATCCCATTGGTATTCATAGAAATTTTTGTGCTATGGTTACGAACCGCGAGCAACTATTTTATTATCATTCATTTGTGTGTCCTCGGTCGAGGACGATGTAGAAATAATCACCATTAGTCAGCCTCGGAACAGCCACAGGAGGCTACCGCGTTAGAGTACTCTTTTACTGCTTTGGAGGATGAACTTTGGTTTTTACTTGTATTGTGCCCCCCAGCGTCCGTTAAGCTGGTGTCAATGACTTAGTCTTACAAATCTAGAATTACTAATTCAAGCGGTGCGCTTCATTGTAACAACCGTTTAGTCCCGATTTGCTGAACGGATGAAGTCATGTTTTGCAAATGTTATTCAATATGTTCTAAGTCCATTCGGCTGATTTCATAATGTCCGTGTGAGTCTTAAAATATTCCACAGATCTTCCAAGGGTTGCTACGAGCCAGCAAATCCCAAATCGAAACACGTAATGGTATGCTTCGCCTGTGGATACATGAGGGGATACGTGTGTTTGCTGATCGCCTGATCAATGACAAGGACCGCACCGCGTATCTGGAACTAGTGGGTGATGCGCTTGCAACCTACTTTGATCAAACTTACCACAGTTTGTGCCCTTCACGTCAAGCCCCAATCTTCGCGGACTTCTTGAATCCCAATCAAGAGTACGAAGATGTAACTGATTTGAATCGGTTGCGTACATTCATGACTGAAACACTGAAGGAATACAACGAGACTCCGGGTACCGTACCGATGGACTTAGTTCTGTTCCGAGATGCAATTGAGCACAGTAAGTCAGTAAAACCGTGGCAGAGAGACCCTCTCCTTTACTAACCTGTTTTGATACTTGCGATCATGTGAACATGTATCCGTCTAATCAACGAGCAGAGGACATGGCGGCCCTCTGTTGTTTCTAATGGGCTGTGAATCGCCCAGAAATTTTGTGTGATATCCAGTCAGAGTGGTCCGAAATGGCAAACCACTGAACAAGTATCCTTACGGTTGGATTCCCACCGTTTGGCACAACTTCCAGTCCGAACAGCTACAACCCATCCGAACTGGTCGTTTCGACCAGCCATATCCTATCGTCGGAAACCGAGCGGTGGAACAGTAAATCCCATTGACTAAGACATTTTACCGAATTGCACACTTTTTGGACTTGCCACGGCTATCTGCTACGGACGTTGCTACTCCTTGTGTTCTACCTCTACATGTTATCGCCATGTTTTCAGCTTGTGGTGCACCTTTGGCGTGGTCCATGGCTGTCAAATTCCCGTTCGAGTTATACCACTTAACCATTCGCAATAATACTTATCCCTAACACAACATTGTCATGGGTTTCGCTACCGTTATTCAAATGGAAAGATGTCCTTACCTGTTTAACTTACGGACGGTCTGAAGCAATGAGAATTCGAAGCTGAAGCGTGGAGCAAAGAATCGTATAATTGATTAACTCTATTAACCACCAAGCGTTGTGAAGAAATTGATCTGCGTATAGTCTGCCTTCGGAATAGTGGAAAGACTTCACAACGACAGCTAGTCATGATCTGTTGTCAGTCCTCATAGTTCATAGTCATTTAACCTATCACTGCCTACCTTCTGCTTCGCGAGGTGTTAGCATTCATTTTTACGTTCTTCCGTTGGCACCGTAATTTCCAGTTCACTCGAATGTGATGGCCTTTACATTTCTCCAAGGGACTTCTTCCATGCGGAGGTCACCTTTGGTTCCTGAGCAGCCCACGAATGAGGAAGCCACTTGCGGAAAGCGCAAATGTGGAGAATAGAAAAGCGATAAGGTCCGGAGGAGTACCAGGGGCTTATACTAGGATAGTGAAACGCCAGATGGCCTCGACTGCACCAGTCCAAAGAGAAGTTGCAGATTTACTAAACTAATGTGGCTTACCTGTCGATGGGATTCATTGCGTTGTGTTTGCACTACATAGTTTGATTCCACCACCGATGTTTCGTTACGGAATCATCTCTCCTCTAGACTGCCTTATGAGTTAGCAACGGTGATCAAGTTTACTTATCAAGTGGGCAGTTTAGGGAAACATCACCTCCCAAGGGCTTGTACCCCATAACAGTCGAAGCATCGCATCGGTTTTTCGTACTGTCTACCACTCTGCTTATATCTGCAGTGAGGTTTACCTAGACGGGGTTAATAATCGACTAGCTCGGAGGGTGGCTGAACAATCTCCAAGGTGCTGAAGACAGGCAATAAAGGGCGAACCGGAGTTCCGCATCATCCATCACCAAACGACTTATGACAGTTTGTCACCAGGCGAACGCGGTCAATTCATTTGGTGTGTGACTGCGCATCAGAAGCCTCACATTGTTGTGCGGCTCTAGCAATTGCGGTGATTTTGTCGGTGTTGTGGACACAGGAACAACGAATGCAAGTAGGCACACTGGTTTGGCTTTGATCGCTTAATGTGCAACGTTCCCATGCATGAGTATTTTTGTAGCTAAACTTTTACAGAATTCCTGCATTATTGTGTTTGATACTGAAGAGAGCAATCAAATTGTTTATGTGCCACTTCTGTTTGCGCATTTAGTTGACTAAGTTGCTGGAACATACTCAAGGTCGCAACTTCGCAAGCGGAGCTTCCCGCTAACATTGGATTGTTGTCGTACTGCTAAGGTTACATTTATGGAGAATTTATTTGATCGTTGTTAGTCATCTCGATTCGCCAAAACCTTGTCAGAGAAGTATGTCCCACAACCGGTAGTCAGTTGGCCACGATCTCGTCCGTACGTATCGACGTTTGTTTCGGAAGAGCTAACAAGCACCGTGAAACACAAAAGAGGTTTTCGGTACAGTTGGGTTCACACGAGATCAAGTAGTAGCCGTTTATCTGGGAACCTTATGCAGACAGGATTAGCGGTTAGTATTTCACATCCGCACCACACACACGCACTTACAGTGAGAGGTCGAACAGTGGATGAAGACGCCCCACAGTGGTGTGTTTGCACACGTTCTTACGCGCACGCAAGACACTTGGATCGAATCTAATTTAGAGTGCCATACGTAGGGTGAAAACAGAGTTAGTTTCTTCTCCAGCTATGTGATTGAACTTCCAATTACTGCCTGCCCTTATACTAGCAGTAGGTACAGTTTAGTTTAGTTTGAATACATCACGGATTCTCCTGCTTGAACTCCGAGCATAGTTGAGTAAGGAACTAGGCTGCCAGAAAAAGTGAACATTAAGACTGAGGAAATGGGGCGAACATAGCAACGCCGACAACTCAAATGTGGTGCTCACCATCGCGATTCCGTAGGAAAAAGCGCAGTTTGGAAGTGCTGGATCCTAGGACACTGCTCCGGCAGAGTGTTCGCTCTGAATATGAATGTGGTTTAAGCGACAGCAGCATTAGATAGCAACGGCATCTTCGTTGGAAAATGGTTACGGCTTTGCGGAAAGTCTTGTTAGTACTCATGAAGGGGGAGGCGTCAAGTAGAATGAGCGAAGTTATGTACGGATATGGACTCCAAAGTGAAATAAAATCTGTGTGGGACAAACTAGGAACGTCTCAGCGAAAGCACTCACACAGGAATGTCATGACCAACAACGGGTCTGATTCATACCCCAGCAATCACCAGTCATCGTCAGGATGATCTAGAGCTGAAACAAAGCCATAAAGCCACGAGGAACTCGAAGTAATTAACTGCTCTACAGAAGCACTATTTTTGACATGCGTCATAATGCATTGTAATAACATGGATTAAGCGAAGTCAAATCTGTTATACTACATTAGTGAGGATCCAACAAATGATGCTAACGTGACCTACAATCCGGCTACACACAATACCCAGACCAACGTAATAGCACAAATTCTGATCGTCGAGCAAGCTGGGTTACGCCACGTGGTCAACATCGTGGACTGACTGGTCGGTGTTTACCACCTTGACGGTATTCTCAAGTTCGATGACGAACTATTCGGTCACCAAATGCTAAATGTATGCTAGCTTTTTGGTATGGGCCTTGTAGCTTCGTCACATTATTGCTAGGGTGACGTTTAGAGGAAAAACGAATAGTTTGGACATTATAGCTGAAGGAACGCTGATTCACATACCTTAAAAAGCACAGAAATAACTGGCCTTGTGACCATACTTGTTCCTATATGTGATATAACACCAAAAATATGCTGCAATTACGAAATTTATGGTTCAAATGAGTCCTTCATTCCAGACCTACTTTTATCGACTTTGTGTTTTTAAACACTGGTTTATTCTCTCATAGCTTGCAAAATTGTCCGTGTCATCAATCAACCACGTGGAAACATGCTGCTTATTGGCATCGGTGGCAGCGGCCGACAAAGTTTGAGTCGCTTGGCGGCTTACATTTGCGAATTCCAAACGTTCCAAATCGAAGTGACGAGGCAGTATCGAAAGCAAGAATTCCGCGAAGGTATATCAGTGTCTTGTTCATTACTTATGAATGCTGACATTGTGAACCGATTATGCTGTTCACAATCTTACTGAGTTTGGTTACCAATGCTGAACCGTGTCCTTTGCCTGTTTCGACCTAATCACAACCGATCCAGAGCCACATTCCCAACATGCTGTGGACCACGGGTGAACGATGGCCGTTTGATCAAACATCTCGCAACTATCCATACCCCAGGCTATGCTGCCTTTCACTCGGTATCAGTGAGTGGCGATTGTTGCGGTTGACTCCAACGCCACTGGTCCGATATGATAATCAGCACGCTAGTTTGCGCAGGGCTAATAAAAAGGCGAGCGCGCTGGTCACTCCGCCGCGTCGACTAGCGCCTGAGTCATCCGCTGTTGCGTTGAACAATCGTTCCGAGAAAGCCTGGATCTGTCTTTCTCTCGTGCTTTACCGTGGAAAGCGTAGGAACGCTTACCGCGAAATAAATTAGTGAGTTGTTTGATCTTTCTCAAGAGACGCTAGAATGAGATTATTAACATTGACTTAAGGCAATTCCTTTTTCCTATCTGACAGGCATGTTATATTCCAACCGTCGGATTGTGGAATATTCTAGTTTTTCTCTGTTGTGAATGGTCGCGCCGTTGCAATCCTTTAAGCTCCGCTCTTAACACGCTGGAAAGGACGCCCCTGCAGGTTAGATAGTTGTTAGCATGTGACATGGGGTTTACATTTTTTAAGATCTTTAGTATCGGGCTCGCTTCCAGTGGCTAACTCTCCAGTCATTTGCAAACGATATGCGAAGTGACCTAGGGCCAGCAGTAATTATGGGCGTACCTTAGTACGAGCCCCCAGTAAACTTTGTGGGTACCTTGCCTATCGGATGGAGCTGAGGCTCATAACTAGTAACCAGATCTATCCTAGCGTACTCTTTGGCCGTTCGGCTAGATTCACCTCGAAAATTATTAGCACTTGGTATTATACCTACTTGTTGTAGATTTGTGTATGAAGCCGCGTCCAGGGGCTGTACGCTTAACCACCAACGTCACTGAGGTCCCCGCCGAACATACATAGAGTGGTCACTGAGGGATTGCCGCTTTGTACTCTACTGCCAAGAACTTCACCCAGTCTGAGATCGCATTATGTATGTGTGCGCTTGTGTATTCAAGAAATTTTTGCGCTAATAATGATTCACTCTCTCCCTCTAGGTTTGACTTTCCGAAAGATTTCTGGTCAGTAGGTATCTAACCTCCACCAAGAAAGAACTGAACAGTCATTTCTGAATTTCTCTCCCATCGGGGTTTCATCCTGTTGAACGTGAGTAGTCATTTCTTGGGAAAATCGAACAGGGTTATGTTCCGGTTGGGTTCTAGCGCACTGAATTCGAGTCCATCGTCGTAACAAGTCGGTCGTTGACATCTGACACAACATTTAATTAGTACCCCCGCTTTCCAGGAGTATTCACAGCAGCACAATCTATCTCGGCGTCGAGGAGGTGCACCACTGCTAACGAGCCTAGGAAGAACAGGATGGTGCCTTGGCTTCGTAACGGGTGACTGATTGTCGCCTAAATGGGCTTAAGTGTGATGCATCCATATGGTCAAGGAAGATATTCAGTCCTTGGGGGTCTTCCAAAGTCTGGCCACACATCGCATTGGTTCATAATGGCAAATACGAAGTAAGATGTGACATCTTGGACCAACACCGCCATCTACAATTTGGGAATGGGGATGACGGTGAAGGATGAGTTGTGCTATGGCACAAGCAACTGGAATGCCGTTCATCTCTTGACTCAGTAATAGTAATCGTATCCTTTCAATAAAATGGTCAGAGGATGTAGTCTCTCACTTGTACCCGGAATGAGCGCCGTCAGTCCAACCCGAATGATGAGGTAGCTATAGAAAAATACAAAAGTACTAGCCCCTAACTGACACCCTGCGTTTTTCCCTAAAGACGGTGGAATGATGTTGGTATATGCTCTGATTCATGTGCATAGCCCTATACTCTCCAGAGTTATTAAGATGTGATGAACAACAAAAAGCACGGTTTGCGTAAAGCACGAAAAATTAGTTTTCCCGTTTTAACACTTGCGCATTTTTGTCTCCCTTACCCGTGATTAGAACTGCTCAATATCCATACCGTTTCTCAGTCAAGTGTATCCATAACGGAAACAAATTCCTCCTTAGGGAAATCGTGATTTTACTGGAATTGCACCCTAATTGCTCACTGTTCGTTGAGTGGTCAACTTACAAAGTAGTTGACAGCACATCAGACGAGCACATAGCATGGGGTGTAGATGACTTTAACCCGGATGCACCTACGGCATTATGGAGTATGGCGCAGCCTGAGTGCGCTTTTGGGGCATGTTTAGCCACGTTCGATAATCAGTCAGCAACTATTGGCTGCACTGAATTTATAGAGTGACGCACGAAAAGTCATACCATTTTTGTTCATTACATATGTAATATTACAGAAGTAATGTTGAGAACTTGTATCTGTATACGTTGGTTTATGGAAAATCTGACAGATGTCACGAGAAATTTGCACGGAATATTTTCTTGGCGCCAAACGCAACTTTCAAGATGCGGATTGAGTGGATTGAGTGTTGAACAGTAGATGAAAGTTGTTTTTTAAAAGAAACGAGGAGTTTCGTAGCGACACAAAGAGCTTTCCGTGCATACTTTCGCACAAAATAGGCTCCATGTAAACAGACTATTCAGAGATTGCATCGTCAATTTGAACGAACTGGCTCTGTGCTGGAGAAGAATTGACGGCGCGTACCAAGTGTCTGCACCCAGAAAAACATGGAAAACATGGAAGCTTGCAAGCGGTTGTGAAAGAAAATGGTGATTACGTTGAACATATACCACAAGGAACTAAATTTCCTTGCTCATACAATTAATTCTGTACTAATTTTGTAATATGTTGATGACGTTGATGTGTAATGCACAAAACAAATGGTATGACATTTCGTGCGCCACCCTGTAGTTGCGCACAAGTGAAAAAGCATGCACGTCAAACTCACCTGGTACGACCTGTGCTTAGCGGTGGCTACGTGTAGTTGTGCGTGGGCGGTAGTTCGAGATACTGTGCGTAGCCTTGCGGGCACTTATTTGTATGTGTGCACGAGTTTCCGCGCTCCCCATCACTGGGCGAAATGTTGAGTGGCTGTCCAGCTACCGCTAGGCTTCCACATGGCTGAGGCCGAGTGAATTAGCCAGTCGGAAGAATGAAGTAACTGTACTCAAATGCGCACTCAGGCTGCGCCACACTCCACAATGCCGTAGGTGCATCCGGGTTAAAGTCATCTGCAACCCATGCCATGTGCTCGTCTGATGTGCTATCAACCACTTTGTAAGTGACCACTCAACGAACAGTGAACACTTAGGGTGCAATTTGGTTAAAATTATTTTGAGTTATCTATGACAGAACGTAATTTCCTTAAGGAGGAATTTGATTCCGGTATGGATGGAATTTGCAGAGAAACGGTCTACTCTAGGTTAACGCGCCGTTAGATCGCTCCCGTACGAACGGAGCGACGTCCGATTCGCTATTGCTTCCCACGACGCACAGGATCACTGAACGGAATACAATGGCCTCCGTGTTTGAGGCCAACTAGCCAAGTAATGCGAAGATTCTTCATTTTACCAGTGTTTTCAACAACTCGTTTTATGTTGTTTCTAAATTTGCAACCGCACTTGACATAAGGCATGTTTCGTACAATTTACTGGAACAATTTCAAAAATCGGCGGAGTAGGGTATCATTAGTGGCTAGTTCAGATAAAATTCAAAGTGTGACGCAACAAAGCTAACAGATCCGAGGTAGGTAAGAAAAAAAACGAAATTTCGAGTAGTAGCAACAACTATCGATGTGAATGTTCCGGCAGAAATCCAGTCAAACATCATATGCGCGAAGGGGCCATAATTGCACGGGTCGGATGGAAGTTCTAGCATTGGTTTGTTTTAGCGTGCACAGTGCTTAAGGTGGTGTTGCCAGTTGAGGAGTGTATGGATTGAACGAAGCACAACAAACGAACGCCTAGCGAACGAGGAATGCCAGTCAGTGGAAAACATACGGTATAGTACCTACGAGAGGACTAGCCAGTGAAATGAATTAGAACGGGATGATGATTCAAGTTTGTGTACGGGGCAAACGCATCCAGGTACCCATGACCATCAGATGTTCACCACCTAGACTTCCTTTTGAGTCTCGGATAAAAATGTGACAAATCGCCAGCTGTACGCCATAGCGGCGCTCCGCTGCCGCGCGACTACCACCACTCAATTCCCAACGCACCCCAATGTTCAGGGAGATTGGAGTTTCTATCTTGAAGGCGGCACGCTATGCTATCTGTGAACATATTCGTTCGCACAAGTTCGCGTATATAGACTGGTTGAGCTTTGCTATCGCTTGCATTACGCGCCCTGTCCAAACGCAAGTCGGTACCTGGTATGCCTCTGGCGCGAGTTTCAGGGTATTAGCCATATCGAAAGAGAACTTACATCAGGTAGTAGGAATCCGCAGCTCACTCTGGAGATTCGCTTTCGAAGCGCCTCATCCACGTAATGTTGGTGCGAGCAATACTTGGTATGTTGTGCGCGATTTCCTTGGGTTGGAAGTTCTATCAAGTAAACAGTTGAACAGTTTGGAATGTGCGAGCGATGCAGTACTATCGGGATCGACCTGAGATTTTAGGTATGCACACTTTGCGGCCCCGAACGGCAAGGTACTGTCACAAGACAAGGTAGATCCATCATCTTTTCCTGCGATTGCTAGATAACCACTGGGCTGATAGGTCCATTCACTTTCTCAGATAGTGAGATCACATCTGATCTCAATTATCCTGCGTGGCTGCAGCGCGTATCGTTAGGATCCAGGTAACTTTCCCGAAGCACAGTCCGCTGCGTTGTTTGCACCGTTTACCTTGAACTACTGGCACCTCTATCCATTACGGTTTGTAAATTGGTTTGAAGGAGTTGGGTTACGCGTTTTACGGTAATCAAGCATACAACCTAACAGGAACTGAACAACTATACTACTTAACAATTATAAAGCGTTAGTACTACACACCTCATGATGGCATTTCCAACTCAAAGTAACTACACTTGTAAGCACTTCAGTCCAAACCAACAAGATAGGCTTCAGAGAGCCTAGGATACAAAGTGGTAGGAACCCAGTGCACAGCGTGCTCACACAACAACGGTGATGAGATTCTTTAATTATAAGTATAGAGCGAGTGTTAGGTGAGCGCTGACGTGAAATGAAGTCAATCTGTCTGAAGCATTTGGCCTATAGGTCACAGATTCGCTGGCAAGGAGGAAGAGGTTGACAGATAACCGGTGCGTAACGGGATGTAGAAGCAAGTGCTAGGGTCATGGAGGAGTGTAGTGTATGCAGGGTAGGTCAGTACCCGTTGGTTCATAGGAAAGTGCGCAGTAGGCAGAGACAGTTAGACTTGTCGGCAAACCAAGGAAAGAACAGTTTGAAAATTAAGTTTGAAGAAATTGGGATCAAAGTCTCATGTGAATGGGCGACCACCATAGTTGCTACACGGCTGACGTATCATGCGTGGTACACGGTCGTTAACTCGTTAGACAATGTGCTGTTTTCTGCTCGATATTGATTCAAAAGTGCCATACGATGCGTGTATTGGAAAGGTTCCCTCCGGCCCCATTATTACCGGTAGTCTCTGATGGTAATACGACACAACGTCTTTTTGACTCTGTCAGGTTCAAAGAAGGGTTCCACCATGGAACGGACTACGGTTCAACCACCACCGTACTTGAGTATGACACACATCCGAGAGTGACCACTGTGTGCTTCTCCACAACAGCGATATAATCACAAAATAGCCGTGTACACGTGCAATGCACGTAATTGATAAAACACTCTGCACAGTATCTGGTCTTTGCCATGCTCCTAGAATACCATCACGCGGAGAAGACTGCAAATTGTTATGTGCACAGTCCAAGAATGGTGCATCCGCTTCGAAGACTTTTGGTCCTATTCATTTAAGTTCGCATCGATGGTGTGTAGTACAAGGAGGAGTATGTGCACTGTATAGGACGTTATCCGTAGTTCATCTATGAGCGTAGACATTTCATAGACGGTAGAATCACAGTGCAGATGGACTGACAGTCAAATTCGAGTCCGACAGTCAACGTTTTCGCACGCATCGCAACAACGGAATCCCGGAATTAACTTAGCATGCTGATCCGAAGCTTTGAATTCTCTCAATGTCGATCCGGCGTTTTTCTCTAAACAGACAGTATGTGCGTAGACTAATTACAGCCGGGCTACACGATGGGAGTACTCACAGAGCAAAAGGTAGAATGCAGAATGTACTCTTACTAATTTTCTTGGACAGAACAATTTTCGTCCTATTCACTCTATAATATGTATTCATATTACACTAAGTACCTCTATGTGACCATCTACGCATTGTATTCTAACTTGATTGTGCTACAGATATCAAACGAATGTACTGGCAAACCGGAGTGGAAAACAAACCCACCTTGTTCATTTTCAGTGATGCACAAGTGGCAGATGAATCATTTCTGGAAGATATCAACAATCTGTTGAGCTCAGGCGAAGTGCCCACTTTGTATAAACAGGACGAGTTTGACGAAGTACGCCAAGCGTTGTTGGATGTGGCCAAACAGAATGGAGTCAGCGAGCAGACACAAGTAAGGAAATCTCCGGCCACATTTAGCCATTGGTTGTATACAAAAGAGGAGTGCGCATGATGAACGAGCCCCGATCATCCTTAGATAGCCATGAGGACACATTTCGTGTTTGTTTTCATGTTAGCTAGCCAACCATTTTGAGGCAAGGAGAGGGTTAGGATTGATATAGCTTGTATTTTTGTGACAAGGAAAACACATCAGTTTCATGTTGCGGTTGACTAATCAGAGGCTCGCAGTTTGACAAAAAGAAAGGAAATTCTGGCCAAATTAGCACTGCTGCCCTTTATTGCCCAAGAAACAAGTTAGCTTACGTTGCTCAAAATACTAGCATAATTAACCGTTCCACCTCGGCGACAGCACCGGTAATCACCCACTTCTACACAAATAGAATGATGAGATACGCAACAGAAGAGCTAGTGACTGATTCCAATGCCTAAACAGCGTATACTTGAAGCATTAAAGGTGTACAAAGCAAAAGGGGAGTATCCAAGGCGGGTCATATCAGTCCGCTTCTCCCCGAACACAGTTACAACGCGAAAGGGCAGACGATGAATACACTTCAGGCAACGCAACAGCATAGTCAAGAAACAAAAAGGTACCTCAGACAACTGAGAGCAAATTACGTGAGTACAAACAGTTAATTTGCTCAAAAAGATAAATAAAATAGACAGAGAGTAATTTTGCTGAGTATATTATATGAAATATTTTGTTTGACGAACGAATATGTAATCTTTCCAAAATTGCGGATCCTTTCTATAGTGCCAAGTTTATAGTTACCATCGTGCAACCAGAGATACTGCAGGCATCACTCATTACCAGTACCACCAGTGTTTACCTACCCTTATCGGTTAGCCTTCATCGATCACGTGAGCAGCGCGCAGTGGTGCTACCGGCGTAGCTATATACGCTTGGCGGCATCCGGTTCCGGATTTACCTGTTACTGCGGCCTCCATAGAACAGCCGCAGGACACCTGCGCTTACAGAGGGACCATGGGTGGTTTGCGCTGCAAAAGCCACAGCTCCACCTACACACCCCATATCCAGTGTAAACCCAAAGGAATAAGACCAAGACGCAGGTGGATATAAGCCAGGTTTCATCAATCGAGTCGGCCCACGCCCCTTCAGAATACACAGCAGCGGTATTCCAGTCAGTCTAACTGGAGAATCATAAGTACCAGACATACACAAGGCAGTGGTTGGTCTGTAGCCCGTTCAGCTCAGGATGCATCGAACCACTGTTTGCGCCTAGCACGGTCACGAGGACGGTGCACCTCATCCTCCCCACAGCATCATTTCGCAGTCTTCTGGAGCCGGTATAGACGAGATGGAGGGTAATAGACAGGTAGGCACCTTACCAACATTCAGATCAAGCGCAGCCACACCGGGGGTATCAAGCAAAAGCCAACACCTGAAATGCGAGAAACAAAACACGCAGGCACATGTACGTACAGACCAACTGCAACAATGGTTTAACACACGTACCACATCAGCCGCTTTATTCGCCTGGGTTAGTAAATTGAATGCAAGTGGGTGCATCTCGCCTACTAATCGCTGTGATGATTATACTTACCTAACCAGTTGACTCGTCGTCCCACGTGACCACGCTGGTAGCTTACCAGGCCCGCTTGGCTCAGGCACTCGTGACCGCATGTACTACAACACCATGCGCTTGATGTCGATGGGCTAAGGTCCATCGGCACCTGTCGCTTCCGTAACTGGTGTTTCTCCTCCGCATGCAGCAGTGCTATCTCATGCACCCGGGTAACCGCCCCTTTGATATGCTTTCGCCACTCACGCCGTTCAGCTGCCTTTGATACCTAGCACCTGAAATCAACATTGGTTCGTGATAAACTCACTCTGATCATGTCCCGGTAGGACAACTTCGGTTTTCCCATGTGTCGCTTACCTGCACGCAGTTGGCCGTACAAAATCTGTTTGGGTATCGTCATCGAATTCATTCGGCTGATATGCCCCAGCCTTTTCAGGTGCCGCAGCAGAAGTGTGATATCCACTTCATACATGCCATTGCGGCGTAGCACTTCCGTGTCTGCAACACTGTCGCACCAAACGATGTGCAGAATCCGTTGCAGACACCGTTGATGAAACCGCTCCAGATATCTGACGCCCTTCTGGTTTATCGCTCATGTTTCGTTGCCGTATAGAAGAATGGATGGCACTATAGACTTGTTCCGAGTTTCACCTGTTCGCCGAGTTTCGTACTTGCTTTGCAAACGTTTCATCACCAAACGAGGTGACTTCCCCAGTGCGCTATTAGGTTACATGCAGTCCGCTGATTTGGTTGTTGAGGACCAGGGGAACAAGAAGGAAGGGAAACATCAGCGGTAGCAGATTTTCGCTTATCCACCCCACTGTACGCAACAGATAAGCCGACCCTTTTCCTAGCGACACTGCGCGACAGTTGATACAGTATGGGATCATTTCTATTGTCAGGATTCGTGATTGAAGGTTGAACTAGGATACTGACAGGGTGTCCACAACCGACACGAGAATTACTTGGATCCTCTGCCAAAGCATTAGATTAACTCTCGCAAGGCAAAGGGCCGGGCGCCATGAGTTAGTGAATTGACGCACGCGGAATTTTGTGCTTTCTGGCTCTTCGTTAGAAGAAGGGTGTAACCCAACTCCCACCCAGCGGTCACCACGGGAAGGCGTGCAGGTCATGAGTCCACGGCACAACTTTGGCAGCAGCGGGTCGAGGATCTGTCAGGTGCTAGCTACGATATATATATATATATATATATATATATATATATATATATATATATGTCATCGACAGTCTATTGAATAAATATTGAGCCAACAAAGTTATGGAAATCAATGGAGGATACCAGGTAGAATCATCATCACCATCATGACGTATTAGTTGAAGGTGAGCAACACACTTCAGCTATTGCGCTGCAAAAGAAATGAACATACATTTGTTATTTTGCACACTTCACTTCTGCTTTGTTTATTTCAGTAATAAAGCAAATATGTACTCAGATCTTCCACTGGTTTCGCTTGAGCATCATATCCTGAATTGGTTCCAGTCAACGGCACACTTCGTCCTTTGGTACACAACCAGGCAGAGGTGCGAATCAAACGGCAGCAAGACATGAAGTCAATGACTTCACATACTGTCACCAAGTGGAAGCCTGACCACCACGCGGTCGTATGCAGCCCGGTCATGAACGAGCGAATAGAGCGCGGCGCGGCAACCGCTTAGGCACCATGCGTAATATGTGACAAAGCCATCTCAACTGACGCAGCCAAGCCAGCTTGTTGAAAGGGATACTCGCGTCCCTTAAAACACGACGTCGGATTCACCGTTGCAGATGCGTTGTTGCCACCACACAGGAGCTTCTTCCTCAACCACTCATTATCGAAGGTCGAGAGCCGGTGAATGTCATGCACGCAAACTGACCACGACTAGCTTCCATATAGCAACACGACCCTAACAGTAGTATTGTAGACACGACCCTACTAAGAGGGAAACATTCCCACGACGCCACAAGTGTTTTAGGTAGACAGTCACCGACCGAGTCTTGGCGATGTGGAGATAAACTTTCTTTACAATAGTACCACCAGCAAACGCGCAGCTGCCCATGTAAACAAAGTTATCAACGCGTTCAAGCTGTGTACCTCCAAGAATGAGCACGGGAACGGGTGAGTGTCAATCCGGGAGCAGCACTTTAAACTACGACGGGGCGAAGCCCATTCCGTACCTAGATGCTTCAATCGCCAAACGATTTAGTATGTTTTAAATACACACCAAGTATGGCGATGTCATCGACATAATTTAAGTCGGTCGATCACTTGTCCGTTACTAGCTGCAGACCGGAATGTGGCTAACCACCCAGAGCTCTCGACATTATGACTTCAATCGCAAAATTGAAGAACGGCGACATAGGACAGCCCTATCGTGCACCGTTCTTGACAGCGAAGGACGACGGAAGCTTGCCATATACCCTAACTCTGCCGGAAATGTGGAGGTAGGGTGCGCGCAGGATGGTTGTGTATTCTTCTGTGACCCAGTTCCTTAGCAATCAAGGTTTAGCGCAGATCGAGCAACCAAGTCGAATGCGGAACGGATGTCTAAGAATGCAACCTTGGTAGGCCTCTGGTAGAATTAGTGGTGTTTGAGGATCTGGTGGGGAGTGAATATTTGATTCACACACCCACGGCCAAGACGGAAGCCAGCTCGTTCTTCCCGATACTGTGATTCACGAATCGGAGATAGTCTACGGATTAGAATGGATGCCAATAGCTTTGAGGCAACGGAAATGAGACCAATTTCCCGGTGATTGGTGCATGAAGCGTGAGTACCTTTCTTAAAAATCGGGATAATAACTGAATCGCCCCAGGAAGAAGGCGCCTTTCCTTTAATCCATATTTTGAAAAAGGATGAGGTTACCTGGCCAATGATAACTGCGCCTCCATACTTGGACAGTTCCGGAGGAATTCCATCTTAGCCGGCAGCCTTAAATCGCTTAAAGTGTTGAACCACAAGGCAAACTTCCGTTTCGCTAGGTTAATTAAGTGTGACGACCCAGGGCAGGCAGCTGGGTTCGCAGGGCATAAAAGTGGATGGTAAGTGCCAGTTGAACTAGGGATGCAAATGTTCGACCCATGGAACCAAGCGTCTCTGCAGGTTGGCAATCAGCGAGCCATGTGCTTCGCAACTACCCTCACTAACACCAGGCTTCCTGTTGTTAGTGCAACGAATAAGCTGGAAACACTTGAGAATATTGCCAGAGAGAACAGCGGTCTCCATTTCCGAAGCATGCTGATACCACCAAGTTTCGCGATCACGGCATAGGCTTGGTTTGAGCTGCCGACTGACAGAACGATGCACTTCATTATGATTAGACTCCGCTGGCAACTTTCTGCGTCGGTCAAGTAGCTTCATGGAGCGTGTGAGATCCAAACCTTCATAGGGTGATGAATAAGACCACAGACTGACTGGAAGTGATCATGGTCTGCTTCATGAACGTCCAGCTGAGTGCATCAACCAGGGAAGATTGATAGCTCTGCTGAAGTTGTATCCATCACACAGTGCTTCGTTTTCGGGGAACTTATGAAACTCATGTATACGTTCGCATGGACAAAAACATGGTATGAGCCAAGAAAAGTGCACCAGTTTGATCTACAATCATTTACACTAACTAGCCCGTCATCTGAAACTGATTGTGATGTGATCAACCTGAGCTGAAGGTAATCATTTCCGCGCCACACAGAGGTGTGTATGGTGGTTATCACAATGGGTTCCAGCGCATAAGATGTATTGGGTCCATTCGGTTGAAAGATTTGATCCAGATGGGTTACCGTTGCTTAGAATATACGTGGCCATCTGACCATCTGATTTGTAATCGTATCGATAAAGTACGCTTGATGTCACTCTGATGAGGCTGCTTTACTAGTTGTGCTGGAGCTAGTGCGTTGATTCTATGCCGAGTACTGCAGGAATACTTTACGGTGACCGTTGCTGTAGTGAGTAGATGAGATCGCTGATTAAGTTGAATTACTTATAGACGGTTGGTGGCATATGTTTCTGTGTTTGTAAGTCATCATGGCTTCTGACAGCTCTCGGAAGTACCGAAGTATAAAAATCAGGGTTACAAAAGGTCCAAAACAAATCTCTTCAACGCATTCGCACACTGAAGTTGAAGTAAGGGAGAATCGACAACTTGATATGTGTGACTGAACAATGTCGTTGTTCGGGTAGTTTTGCTACTGCAGTCTGAGGTAAACAATGAATGACGAAAGACTCGATAGAGCTAACCTCGAAAGTTGGGGTAGGTTCAACGGTGATATTTCAGCTTACTTTGATTGCCTGGTTATGTTGACATCTCCCTCCACGCCGGATAAAAATAAGCAAATCGGAGGGTGATGAAAACCATTTATTTGACAGGTCGTACTCCACAAGCTTATTTTAGTTGTCTCTAGTTGCATCTTAGTAAACAACCACCTCATTTTCGAACTACATCAACTTGCTTTAGGTTTTATAGGAATTTTGGGACATTCCCACCGTCTCTATGATGAGATATTACCCGGTTTAATTTGGCATTCCACAAATCTTGCAGCCCATGTTTCAATTCTTCATCGACCGGGTTCGGGCCAACCTGCACATAGCACTTTGTATGAGTCCAATCGGTGAACCGTTCCGCAATCGGGTCCGCATGTTTCCGGCGTTTGTCAGCTGCACCACGATCGACTGGTTCAGCGAATGGCCCTTAGAAGCCTTGTTGGAAGTGGCCGAAAAGTACTTGAGCGACGTAGTCCTGATTGTGAGCGAGCCCGATGTAAGTTAGACAGAATTCTTCTTGATTGCTTATTTCTCCATTCACAGTGTCCTTCTCCTTGCAGCCCTTTACATGCTTCCTCAACCTACCACAGAATCCTTTTAACTCTGAATTTGGTGCTATCTTTCACGAAATGCAACCTACAACGGAATTCATCTCGAGTTTCGTTAGCACCACAACAAAGACCATTCCACAGGCATCTCCGAACGACACGCGACTTGAACCCTCTGTTGCAAGTTGCGAAAACGATCGTACTTTTCGAAAACATTGAATTTGTGTCATCCCCAGAATGTCTCAGGAGTAGTGTGTCGATTGGCTCAGTAGTGCTTTCAATGGATTGATGTCGTGCGGTCCCCCAAGCTTAACGAAGTCGTGGCAGCAAGCGAACATTTGTTGCCGATGAATCGCAGGATCATTTATACCGTATACCGATTCGAATCGCTATTCCATTGTGGTAGCCCTTTACTGGCTAGTTCTCGCTGTCGCACTTTAGGCCGGTTATTTAAGTACAATCGCTATTTGTTCGAAGCGTTCAGTTCAACCCACACCTATCCTGTCCGAGGCCACGTTGCGTTTTGTTTATGCTAGCCGCACCACTTCTGCGTTGTCCACTCTACCCGTGCAATTCCCGTCGGCTCACCTGATTAGTTTATGTCCGTTGGTGCCGCATCGGGTCGGTTCACCTAAACTACCAGTCAACGTCACAGTTAGTGTAAATAGGTATTCTTAGTGCAAGAGGTCACAGTTCTTGCCGATTACTGCCACACAGGGGAATGTGGTATTGTGTTCAGGATAGCAGTGGTGCAAAGTACAGTGGCGCGAGTCCGGAATCTTCGCTTTGCCGTTGGAGACAAGCAGAGGCAAGTTTAAGGCACATGTTAGTCGTAGCTAACATGTGTGTATGCGCGTCGACGGAGAAGTTTGGTAGTAGGCGACAGACTTCTCTGCCTAAAAAAGATCACATGTGTTCGGTTGTTGTCATCATTCTACCAACTGAGCTATACCGAGACAGCTACAAGGATTTGGTGTTTACTGTTTTAACCTTGTTTGTGTGCGGAACTCGGTAGGAGATACCGTTTAAGGATTCGCGACGTCCACAAAAACACACGCGATTGAACTATCTCAGATACAGTATATATGTTTGGTTAGAAAAATATTAATAATGTATTTTACTCAAAAATGCGATAGAGTGGATGCTTAGATCAGTAGCCATGAAGGATGGTGCAATAAGACAGGGTTAGTTTTTGAGTTACAACCAGATTACGCGTTTTATTTAATATGTTCATAGTCGCAGTGAGGATTTTTACTTTTTCCTCTTTAGCCACAAATTCTCGCCAAGGCACAGGTAAGTGGACTCCAACACGTTTCCTTATGGATTTGCAGTTGGTACTATGATGTTCCATCCATGTTAAATATGTGAACAGTACTTAAATAAACTAGCATGGTATCACCTAATTAAACGCCTTTGGATTTGTGGCCACGGTTCCCAAATTTAGATCGGTAGTTTGGAAGATAACGAATAAATCCCTCCTCAAAACCGGAGAAAGTGCTACGCGTGTTGCTTGGACACGGAGCGGAGGCTCCGGTTAGCTGTGTGGAATATGTTAACCTAATTAATCTCAGTACCATGGAACAATGGTGTATAACGGGTAAAAAAGCAATGTTTAACGAGTCCCGTGGGATGGAAATTATCGCGAAAAGTAAATTGCATGATAAAGTGAAAAGCGTTTTGACGAACTCACCATAGACTTATGTGGAATAGCGGAGACGTTCGCGTATTAAATGTATAAATCCATTGGTTAGGTGTTTGCTAAGACACCGTTTGATTGCGTTTTGTAGCCCCTGGCTAACAAGTCATAAAATGAAATGTAAGTGAGACAATGCATCGTCAACACGTTATTTAAATATCGCCTGATTGGGAGCAGAGACGACATAATTAGGGAGGGCATTCCAAGGCTCACACACGCGGAGAGAAAAGAAATTTCTACGGCATTCAAGCCGGCTATAATGAATTGTCAGTTTCAGAGGGTGACCTCTTAGGTTAGTGTTTTGAATCAATTCCAGCAGCGGACGGCAGATGTGGTTTGGGTTCTTCAGAATTTGGTAAGCCATTATGAGATCCCCCGCAAATGCCGATATCGACTGCTGTACATTCTTAGAGATTTCAGTCTATGCTGATAGGGCAGATGAAGCAGGCCCCTGACGTTCTTGGTTGCCTTTCGTTGAGGAGTCTCGAGAGTAACAAGATCCTGTTTCTGCCACGGCTGCCACGCCTGAATAGCATATTCCACTTGCGGTCGCACGTAGGTGTTAAGCATTTGGGGGAAAATTGAGGGTTCGAACCGACCGAAGGTTCTGCGAAGAAGGCCGAAGTGTTGATTGCCGGTTCTCTTCGCCTTCTCTGACTGTTTGGCATACCCGAGATCTTCCTGTACCAATACACCCAGGTCACCCTCCTGAGAGGCCTTCTGCAAGGTGTGGTTTCCAAACTTGTAAGCGCTCACCGGCTGGTTAAACAGATAGATCACGTTGCACTTAGCTATGTTCAACTGAAGCAGGTTCCTCTTTGATCATTCAGAAATGCAATCTAGTTCATGTTGGAATATATCGGGATCTTCATCGTTATTAATCTCCCGCCATATCTTGACGTCATCAGTGAAAAACGGGAAATTGGAGGAGATAACTGATGTTAGGTCGTTGATAAATACCAGGAGTAAGCGCGGCCCCAGCACTGAGCCTTGTGGGACACTACATTCCACCTCAATTGGGTTAGAGAGTGATCCCCTAAAACGTACTTGGTGAAGGAAGCTGCCAATCCAACCAAGTACAGAATCTCCGATTTCTTAACTCTGTAGCCGTTGAAGTAGGATGCGGTGATCCATGCGGTCGAAAGCTTTGAGAAGTCCAGCTAGATGACGTCAACTCCGGTGGGTGGTATACCAGAGTGTGGATAGGACCGATAGTATTAGCCCACATAATGCCAAATTTAACCAAACGGTCAAATACCGATTTTGCTATGTGGTTTATGGGCGACTGACTCACCAAGAATTGGGTGGCCGGGGACAGTTTACTTGGGTCCGAGTAAACGAGGAAGAGATGCATCATTTGGATTGGACTTCCGTATACATCTTCCACTTCTGTTGACATACTGACTGGATGAGGGGATAACCACATGCTCGGCGTAAAATGAACATGAATCGACGATTGAGAAACTGTTCTGGCCCTGATGATAGGGATGAGTTCGGAATAAGCTACTCGTGCTGACCAGTCTTTCACGCGCTTCATTAACTTACGAAATATAACATCCTATGCTGTCCAATGACCTCGGTCGTCTATTCTCATATTGCGGACGCTGTCAAACAGTAAAAATTGCAGCGGCACACTTACAAACACAAGCTACACACATGGTTGGCGGCATCCGGTTCCGGATTTGCCTGTCACCGTGGCTGCCATAGGACAGCCGCAGAACGCCTGCGCCTACAGAGGGACGGTGGGTAGCTTGCGCTACACCACTCACAGTTCCATCCATACACTCTATATCCAATGTAAACCCGAAGGAATAAGACCGGGTGACATGTGGCTAGGAGCCACATTTCATCAACGGAGCCGGCCCACACTCCTTCAGCATACACAGCAGCAGCATTCCTGTCTATCTAGGTAGGGAATCATGCGTAACAGACGTACATAAGGCGGTGGCTGGGCCATACTCCGCTCCACATTGGATGCATGGAACAACTATTTGAGCCTGGTATAGCCACGAGGACCGGGCACCTCGTCCCTCATAACAACGATTCGCAGTCTCCTGGAGCCAGTACCTAGGTGGATGGTGTTAAACCGGTAGGCACCTTGTCAACATTCACATCAAGCGCAGCCCCACCAGAGATGTGAAACAACCAACATAGAATTTAAGGGAAAGCTAGCACGCAAAGTTGACTCGGAACATTCAGTAGAATAACAGAAATGAACGAACCAAATAAAGTGGAATATATCTTATCCAGCTTAAAAAGACAGTCTAAGTGTAAATTGGTTTAGCCCAACTGCAGTAAAGAAGCATCAGGAATACAACATTAACCTCAGCACGTAAACCCGTGCACATACGCTCATTGTTGTGACGAACATGGACTTCCGTACATTTTTGATCACACTACACTATTAACATGATCATGCCTGTAAAGGTGTGTCTCGCATCGTCGAGATTAAAAAAGTTCATTTACTTGAACCATAAGATTTTTGCGGTAATGGGAATCATTCGACTCATTTCCTAGTCTATCATAATACTAACAATCACCGTCTCCTTGCTGTCGTCCCGGAGCTCATCCCAATGGTTTGTACAAAGCAGAGTGGCTGCAAGTCCACGGGAGGGAAAGCCCAAAGCAAACAACTAGCGACCAGGGCCGTACGTAAGAGTGTGCCAACCACCGGTGTAATCAAGTAGGCCCATCGGTACATGTAGGGCACCGACGTTCTCCAGGAGATCCGAAGTCACCAGAAGAGCACATAAGTCCTCACCCGAAAGATGCGATTCCAGCATTCGGTCTGTGAGATCGCCCAAGACTTCAAGACTGACTTCCAGTTCTAAAGCTTGGGTGTATCCACTCTGCACGAGGCCGGTGAGGCATATCTCGTTGTGCTGTTCGAGGACACAAATATGTGCACCATCCACGCCAAGCGCATCGTCATCATGACATCGACCGCCTGACACAGTATTCGTAACTAACTGCTCAGCAAAGGGGCATTTTCACTAAGTCCCAAAACGGTACCGATCTTATCGTCATTGCTAGCGCTTACAGGAGGTAAGATGTGATAACAGACTCGGTCTTCATTAAGATCACTTTTCCACGTTCCACCTTATTTCCACCCTTTTGCAGACCAAATTGCGAGCAAGCGTTGCCAAAATTTTTGCAAACATGCACCGATCTGTCTCGGATATGGCATTGGTTATACTCAGCGAACTGAGGCGGCACGTCTACGTAACTCCCACCAACTACCTGGAGTTGGTTTCAGGGTACAAAAGGTATGTTTCCAGAATTCACTCTCATTCCAATTCAGCATGCATGGACGTGTGGCACTAGCAGAGGGTGCTCAAGTGATAAGTCACGTAGGGGTTCCTATAGGTTGCTCCACACCATCCATGCGCACAGAAAAGTAACCGGCCAGTTCCGGCTATAAATTTCATCGTATGTGGAACAGATTGTGCAGTGACATAGCGCATCAAACTAAGTGTGTGTTGTTGTATGTACTCGGGGAAGGTTAACAGTCAGTTGCAACACGCACGTTTCGGACCTGGTAACAGGGAATAATTTTGGAAGGCACATGTGGAGTAATTAGGGATATGGGTAACATTGCTGATTACGTTTACCAGGTAATTCTTGGACGGAACACTTTAGTACAGCAAGTAGTGTTATATTAGGGTTGACGGACGAACTTAAAGTCTTTGTCCAGGCATTTGCGGTTTTGTACTTCCTCTGGTCGATGAAATTGAGACGCATTTAAATAGTGCGCTATGTTGAGAGCACGTGGTACCAGTGAGTATTCGTGACGTGTATTTGGCAAGGACTGACATGAGTGTGGTCGTACTGAAACGACGCTTCCCTGCTTTTGAATGTAGCATTCGCAATTCTGGATGCACATTATGGCGCTTACATTTATCCAACGCGGTTACCGGCGCTATCCAGTGGACCTATCACCACAGTATTATTTAGAACACACCATCGTTGCATCCGGTATTGTGATTTCAGTAGGATTTTCACTGAACTCCAGGTGTGCCTCAACCTTATTTTCGACTGCATCCTATCATTTGTACCACCATTCGACAGAGTGCTCTTAGTGCTATCCAACGATTCTTTTGTCACAAGAATCCGACACTGAGCTTGATAGCTGCAGCTTGTTTAGCAGTCAGCATCCAAACGCTCGCCAAACTAGCGTGAATTCTACCATGCCCGTCAAAACGCAAACTTCCACCAAGTCCAATCAGGCTCGATCGATAGCACATCGCTCACCGCACGTGCGCTGCCTTCCGTCGGCTTTGTTCACAACTGTTCCACCCATTTTAGACCGACACCGTGCGCCAGTTCGAACACGTTCGGCGGTCACAACTTGCCGATGGAACTGACCCTCTGCCATAGTTCGCAACACAGCAACAAGGAAAACGATTTGTACACGGTCCACACAGCCGCGATCAAAAGTGATTTGTGCTTTGAAATCGTGTCCCAAGACTATTTGAATTGCAATAATCTGTAGTAAGCACGGAAAGAAATTTCATCCCCGGTGCGTAAATATAAGTGTAGCGAAAATAAAAGACTCAATTTGGTTTTGTACTGAGTGTATGGTCAACCCACTCGTGAGATGTATCGCCATGCTGACAGAGAAATGTGACAAACTAACAACGATCGTGCAGCGTGCAACGGCTGATACAGCGTCGCATCGGAACCAACTGTAGCCGCACTCGACTCCGGTTGCCCAAAACGTACGCTCAAACTTGGAACAGAAGAGCCAAAACCAGTGCATAGTTAACAGCGTACATCCAACAACCCCAAACACCATAACTTGCAAATAGGCGGGCAACGAAGGACTATCAACCCCGGCGACTTCAATGTTGCACAGATCGGTCTTTCCGAGTGGTGTGTCTGTGGCACATGATACTCCATTGCATTCTGGTTCACATAACAATACCAAAAGTACGGCGACATATATATCTATCGTCACTGCATGTAGAACCAGGGCAAAGTTGGCGAGCAGGTCTGCAATCACTCCAAAGAAGTGGCACAAATACTAATGCGCCCCCAAAAGACCGCCTATCACGCCACCAGCAAAAGGAGATACTTTCTTATCCAAAAGTACCAAAACTAGGAAAACGCAGAACTCGATGAAGATAAAATGCTCCAACGTGCTTGAGCCAAGGACAAACTCAATCAAAGACAAACCATTGGACGACCTGAAACACTTGTATTCCATATGTCAAGCAAATGAAATCCAGGCCAAACAGGCTAACTTGTGTCGTTCCCTCCGCCACCCAAACTCAGTTCACTATGGCGAACCGAAGCTACTTCAGGTGATATTACAGTCTGGTGACAAACCGGAGACCACCCTCTTGTCAGCTCACGGTCTTTGTGAGTCGTCATGCGGCGTTCGTATATTCCCTGACATCCCTTGGAGTGGGCGTTAACAAAGGAAGCAAAACCCAAGAGAATACCGCAAGTAAAGCGACGAAAGATCCATCTTTGTCTGTGGTATCCCCGAAATCCAGTCATTCGACGAGTTGCAGTTCTAAGCTCATGACTTGGAAGAGTGGCGATATGTTCGCGAAGCCTTCTCTCCACGATGTGACTGCCAACTTAACGTCAAGGTTGCCCATATCACCAAACTGCAAAATAAGTGGTCGAAGGGTGCTGAAAGTCTTGATCTACTCCAAACAGATGCGTGAAAGGGTGCTCGGAAGTTGGCACAAGTTTCGCACCAAATCGCCATCAGAAATATCTCTGAAGACGGTCAAAGTCACGCCACCATTGGCTGAGGGAAGACAAAACCAGCGCGAAGTCGTCGCTAGCTCCGCTATCTGCATTTCTGAACGCGAGCGTAATGCAACTCCCCAGTCGTCCGAAAAGGAAGGAACAGCAGATCCACCGCAGTTAGCGTCCGAAGGATTAGGCAGTGGGTGCTGCATGCAACAGATCGAAAGAGCCCTTGGGGAAGGCAAGAAATATATCCAACAACGGTTGTCAGCCGGCCCCACAAGGGTCGATCTCGTCAAGACTCAATGTATTGGGCCTCATTATGCGAACCGAGACATGGCTTAACGACTTACTTACCGATGCCGAGATCGCACTACCTGGTATGTCATACTTGCGCAACGAGCGACCCACAAAGGGAGGTGTTGTAATTCTTTACTACCATTCCGACCTACTCATGGACCGCGTAAACGACCCTGTGATTGAAACCGTGGACACCTCCTGGTGCTGCCTACACATAAGGCAAGGCGATAGGTGCTTACTGGCCATTGTATAAATCCCACTAATGTCCACTTCAGAAATGGACCTGACCATAGGCTATGCCTTGAAAAACCTATGTGTATGATCTTACAGCCACGTTCTGGTATAGGACTTCAAGCTGCACTGCATAGACACCCTGGCCACGTACGGTGTGTAATTCAAGGTGGAACTTGTTATAATCTTCTCACTAGACGCAACTCCAAAAATAACAATTCACTGCTCCACAAAACTTCTAGCCCAACCGAAGGAAAAATGCAAAACGCCAATGACCCCGACAAATAACGTATTAATCGCAGCCAACGAACACTGTACAACAACTGCGGACCTTGGCTGTATTTATAGGTCTCTACTGACCTTCGACTTCTAGAATTGGAAGGTCAGCTGCCAAGGTTAGTGGTTCCCCATATCTTTTACCGAGAGGTCAGGTGGATTTTGATCACGTGTAGAAGAAGAACATTCAGGAACGTTCGAAATCGATGCGATGATCGTTAATAATCGATTAATCGCTAAAATAGGGAATTTCCAAGGCAATTCTTACTTTCTCCCGGACCCCTCCCCTCCTGAGATATGTTCCGAGGTGTAAGAGGAAAGCCTGGGATTAACTTGCAGTCTTCGTGACGGTGTTCTCTGCCTGTCGGTCCACCTCCTTGGCAGAAGCGCCCGAGAACTTTGTCCCGATGTTCTTGTTCTGGATTCGTTGCTCGACCTTGTACAGTCGTCCACTGTTACCTTCGGCAGGTTGAAAGTTTCCACCAGTAAATCGAACGGGAGGTCAGTAGGCCTTTCTTGTTCTGGCTGGCACAATGTGGGCCGTAACTGGTTTGCATGCCGCGGCCAGACCTGTGCGCCCACCTCCACGTCATACATGACGTTTCCGCGTTTGCTTTTGACCGTCCCTAGCGTCCATTTCGCATGGCCTTCCCGGTAGTCACGTACTAGCACCTTCTGTCCAAGCGTGAATGATCGCTTCTTTGCTCCATGCCGCCGGTTAAACTCCTGTTCCATTCTGCGGTTTCTTTCACAAACAGAGGACTCCGAGCCCGGTCGGATGGCGTCGAAAGGCATGCGGAGCTTCCGGTTGATCATGGCCTGTGCTGGAGAGACTCCGTCTGGCGCTTGTGGATTCGGTGTTGATCGGTAGAGGAAAAGGAACCGGTCAACCACCTCCTCTATACGTCCCTCCCCTTTTGATTTGTGCAGAGCTCGCTTGAATGTATCGACAAAGCTTTCTGCCTGGCTATTCGACTGTGGGTGAAACGGCGGCGAGCGAACGTGCTGGACGGCGCATTGCTTGCAAAACTCCTTAAACGCTGCTGAAGTAAATTGTGAGCCATTGTCAGTGACCATTGTCTCAGAACAGCCGAATCTGCTAAAGGCTTGGCGCAGTTTCGATATGGTGGCATTGGTGGTTGTGTTATCCATGAGAAATACTTCTGGCCACTTGCTGTATGAGTCGACTATAATGAGGAAACTTCTCCCGTTGATCAGCCCTGCAAAGTCGACATGAATGCGGCACCACGGCTTAGTAACTATTGGCCATGAACAGAGTTCTGCTTTCGGTGGCGCTTTCAAGACATCGACACACTTTTGGCAGCGTCTGGCTATTTCTTCCAACTGTTTGTCCATTAAGGGCCAGTATACATAACTGCAGGCAAGCGCCTTCATCCGGTTGATTCCAGGATGCCCGGCGTGGAACTGTCGAAGAAGGCGCTCCTGAAGTGTCTTGGGGATGACCACTCTTTCCGAAAATAGTATGCAATCGTTTACAATAGCGAGTGAGTGTCTCCTCTGAAAATACTGTTGCAACTCAACGGATGGACATGAACGTGGCCAACTTGTTTTGTGAAACTGAGTAACCTTGAGTATTTGGTCCCGAAGTGTTTCGGTCCGTACAGCTTCTGCGGTAACTGGTAGACAGTGCAGTGCATCAATTACCAGAAAGTTGACGTCTGGTTCAATCTCCACCGAGGCAATGATTATGTCTTCATGTTCTTGCTGACGGGTATCAATTAGGCGTGACAGTGGC